GAAGGACGAGGCTGAGGTTTGGTAACATTTCTGGGGAGGCGCCGCACGGTCCCACAATCGGTCGCTCGGCCTGGATTGCCCAGCGCGAAATCACACCGTCAGGCTTGACTATGGCTTACGACGGCCAGAGGAACCCCATAACCATCCCGCGCTCGTAAAATCATCCATCCACTATCTGCCGTACATCCCGCGAGGCGAAAGGACTCGTCACTCAGGTTCACCCTGAGTTCAAGCGGCCCAGCTGCGAGAGACAAAGCCTTCTGGGGCATGAGGCCATTTGTCCATCTTGGGCCGTCTTGGAAGCGTCTTGGAGCCGTCTTGGAAGCCATGTTGGCAATCTTTGAGGCCACCTTGGGCCATCTCGGCCGTCTGAGAAACGAAATCTCAAAGCATACAAATCCTTTCCAGTGGTTTGGCGCGGTTAGCAAATCCACCGGCACGGTTATGAGGCCACCGGACTGCATGGCAAAAATTAACTGTTTACTGTTCCCTGCACCAATTACAGTTTCCAGTTTCCAATATAATGACTTTGCTTTCTGTTTTCTACTGTTAATTATTACTGAACGCGCGAGGGGGGGGAGCCGAAGAGTCGCACTTTACCACTTTGCCACGCCCCTCCGGGGTTCGCAGACTTCCTGGGGGCCGTGGGACACGTAGAAATACTTGAGATTCCCGCCCCTGAAGCCATAAATCCTCGTAGTTTACACAATGTGCGCGTCCCCGAGGCCAGACACCCTTGTAAATCACGCAATACGAGCGTCCTCGAGGCCATACACTTTCGTACATTACGCAATGTTCGCGTCCCCGAAACCATAAATCTTGGGCCGTATTGGACGCCCTCAGGGCGAACAAAAGCGAATGCGCTAAAAATGCACACCAACCTGAGGAAGTTTGCCAATTTGCATATCTTGGGCGAGCCCCGAATGATCCCACGACAGCCTCAGAGGCCCCCGAAATGGCTCCCAGACAGGCCCCAGGACCATCGTAGGGCACGTTGGCAATGCGTATACTGACCTACGCTTACGTAGGTCGGGCATGTCCTCCTAAAGGCGGACTTTGGAGGAACATGAAAACACATTAAAAATCCGCCGACCCTGCGTTGGCGTGTGTGGGGGGTTTGTCCGTTCCCGTCGTTCGTTCGTCGTCGTCTCCGTCGTCTCCTGTCCCTGCGCCCACCATTTCCCTGGGCCAGTCGTCTCCTGTTCCTGCGCTCCCCCTTTCCCTGGGCCTGTCTCCCCTCCTCCCCTTTCCCCCTCTTCCCTGGGCCCGTCGCCGCTCCCCCCCTGCTTTTCCAAGGCCTCCCCCTCAAGAGCAACGTAATCATTGAGTCGAAGGGAAGCCCCTTCCCTTTGATCCCTTCCCTGCTGGGAGGGGGGGGGTCCCAGGGGGGGTGCTGGGGGAGTCCCGGGGTCCCGGGGGGAGTCCCGGGGGGAGTCCAGGGGGGGTCCCGCGTCAGATACGACTCCCCCCCTGAGGGCCCCATGGCCCACACAAAGCCTCAGACGGGCCAAGAGCCGAGGCATTCTACCACGCCCTCTCCTCCCTGCCCCATCCTCCCTCCATCCTCATCTCTCTTCTTTCTTCCGTCCCCCTCCAGAACCGAACCGGCCTCCTGGACGCTCGGACACGGGGCATCCCAGGACCCAGAATTCCAAGGTCCCCGGGACCCTCCAGGACCCAGCCCCGAGGACCTCCTCCCAGGACCCAGCACCAGGAACCAGCCCCCCAGCACTCCCAGGCAGGCCTCAGGCCCTGCTCGCCTCGTCCTGCTCCTATTCATTTCCCCCTTCTCCTCCTCCTCCTCCTCCTCCTCCTCCTCCTCCTCCTCCTCCTCCTCCTCCTCCTCCTCCTCCTCCCCCCTCCTGCTCCCTTACGTCCTCCGCCTCCTGCTCCTCAACGTCCTTGTCCTGCTCGTCGTCTCCGTGTGCAGGGTCAGCGGCACCAGCCGTAAGGCCTTCGCAATAATCAAAAGATCGTCCCCTAACTATTTTTGGACTATTCCTGAATACGTATTCCTCCTGTAGAGGGACGCACCCGACTGTCTAGAAAAATCACGCGGCGACTCCTAGGAGCGCCCGGAAGCACCCAGGAGATCCGTGAGTTGGGGTCTGAGCCTTTTGCATGAGCACCTACACTACTCAGGGCATAGAACGCCGAATGCCGAACCACCGCAAGGGGGCGCAGATCTCCCAAACGATATGATAGCTTCTCATGTGCACAAGGCGGAATTCAATGTACAACTACTTAAATCGTGTCCCACCCTTCGGGTGATGGGGATGTTGGAAGGGGTTGGGAATCGCTTCGCTTCAAGCTGCATCTCGATTGCAAAGGGACTACCATGGTAACTTGTATTTCGATTACAGCTGGGTTCTCCTAACTTTTACGCAAACAAAAATGGGAGCAAACGTGAAAACAGGCCGCGGCCAACCCCACCCCCCCAGCACTGCCCCTCGAATCAGAATCCCCCCCCGCACGTTTGCAGGCGGCTCTCAGATCCCCCCCCCGCATGCCAACCCTGGAAGCGTTTGATCCTTACCCCTCCCGCATACCACTTCCCCCGGCACACAGCAAGAACCCCTCGAGCCCCGGCCATCCCCACAGACACGCCACGCCTTCCCCCCCGGCAGGCATTCCAAGGAGGGGGCGATTATCTGGAGAGTCAAATGTTGGATTCCAAACTTCATTCTGATGTAAGTAACAGGTTCATATCGATAGGTGCCCCAATTGAATTTGGGCTTGCATGCCTGTGTGCATGTGTATGTGGCATACGTGAAGCTTTCCGATGTGAAAGCCTAGGTGTGTGCATGTGAATGTAAATGTGTATCTGCATTCCGATCTGCATTCCGACAGTCATTCAATAACACAAATCGAATTACATTGCAGATCCGTTTCGAATTGAAGTTTGCGTACCCTTCGATCAAAATTCCGGTTTGCATTCTTCTTCACATTCCGACTTCAAATGTGGTGTGCATTATGACTGCCATTACATTAGCATGTATGTTTGAATATGTGTGTCGCATCGCGTTTTGCACGGGTCATTTCGCTGTGTAATCGTTTCAGTTTGCATTTCGATTGGACTTTGTTTGCAATGATATTTGAATGTCGAATTGCATTTCCCACGGGACAGCCATGGGACAACCTGCGAGACAACCAGTGGGGCAACGCACGGGAATACAACGGGACAGCTCACGGGACAACCCGCGGGACAACAACCCGCAAGACAACCGCGTGAACACCACGGCACAATCCACGGGGCAACCGTGGGACAACCGCACAGAAACCGCGGGAACACCATTGACCATGCCAGCGCTGGCACATCGTCGCCATCGCGCAACGACGGCCCGCCCGCGCGCGCAACATGAACCGAAACCGAAACCAACTTCCCTCTCAGGGCCACTTCGCTCTCACAGCCCCCCCCCCCGAAACCTCCGATGCTGGCAAGAAGGCCCCCAACCAGGGAGGCCACGTGACGTCACTGCAGGGCCGGGCACGGGAGGCGACCATAGCTGGGGACGTTAGAGGGATGCCGCTGCTCCCCGGACCTCTCCTGGGGCGCACTCTGAGCGTGACTCCGGGGCGCATCCGACCGCGCCGACAGGGACGGGTATAGCGGCAGCGGTCTTTCCTCCTCCTCTTCCTCCTCCTCCTCCTCCTCTCCATTCGGCTACCCGTAAGAGTGACCCTGGGTAAGAGTGACCTTTGGTGCGCGGCTCATTGGGGGCCGCGGGGGTGCCAAACACGAGCGCGCAAGACGCTACCATCGCATCGCGTTCGGCGATCGGGGGAACCCCGAGGGGCCCGCACCCAAGGTCACTCCGGCGAAAGGCCACTCTGAGCTGTAGCCGACCCATGTGCACCACAGACGAGGAGGGCGCAGATCGCAGCCGGGCCTGTCCCGTGAGCCCCTCGCCGGGCCGAAGAACGCACCAGTTGTCTGCGCTGCGTACATCCATAACGGCGACGAGAGGCCCCCCTCGGACGCCAGCTGCGGGGGTCTCAGCCCGCCCTCCTCTGACCACTCCCTGCCTCTCGCTAGCATCAGGTCGGGCCTGTCCCGTAAAGGGGGATATTTGGGCGAAAAATAAAAAAAAATACACCCAAAATGCCCAAACATAGGAAACAAATAGTCCGCAGACTATTTTTTACTATCTTCGGATATCCCTCCTGCAGAGGGACAGGCCCGACTTGACACTAGCATGGAGGATGAGAACGAATCCGACCCCGTCTCCCCATGCTTGCTCATGCCGCGTGATCGGTTGGATCGGCATACCGTACGCCCTCACGGCGGGCAGGTCAACTTCGTCCGAGTATCTCACTGGCGCGCCTGCTTCCGCTGCACGGCTCTCGGCCTTGGCGTTTGCCAGTTCACCTACGTCGGCTACTTTACAATTTCCATACCTGCGCTCGAACGTAACAGATGTGCAACTCATGTCCGCCCAGCCACCAAAAAACACGACCCCATGGCTCTAGGCCTCCTAGAGGGGATCCGAACCGATGGCGTCGCAAAGAGCCGTATCGCCGGTGCGACTGAGACGTCGGCGTGGAGAAAGTCGGGCTCCACTCCGAGCTGCATCGCCCATGCATCGGCGATGCGACGCGATCATGCGACCTTATATGCTCGGACACCAGTTGGGATGCCCTAATTTGGCGTCGGGCCCGACGCCATGATTTTGTTGTGGGGAACCCGTTCCCCGGGACCGGGTTTCTCTTCCCGGGTCGCAGTTCCACAACCCCGTGGCCTGGCCAAGACCTCCAGAGGCCCAAAGTAGCGAATCGCCTCCCGTCATGTTTTTTGGCGGCGTGCACAAGAGGGTGGAGGGAGGGGGGAAAGCTTCTTGGAAGGAGGCTGCCTCTTAGAGGGTGCAGGCCCTGCATCCTGCATCGACAGAAACTGCCTGCACCTTCTAAGAGCGGGGGTCTTTCTGAAGAACCTTCCGCCCACCCCCTACACCCCTCTGCGCGTGGCTGAAAAATGGCGAAGCACCCCCCGTCATTGCGTTTCATGGCTCGCGAGGGTCTGGGAGGTCGGAGGCCCGCCGGGGGTCTGGTCTGCGGGCGTCTGGAGGCGAGGGCCTCTCACGGAGGACCCCGAAAGGGAGACTCGCTGGAAGCCTGTCGTCGTGGCTTCTGTCTCGCTCCTCGCTGTGCGACTCTCGATTTTTTTTATTATTTTTTTTTGCAGGCGCCCTCGAGGGTCGACCCTCGAGGGCGCCTGCAAAACGAGGCCATGGCGAGGACAACATCGGGCGAGCCCGAGGGAGACCGCGGGCCTGCCCATCGAGCCCATCGAGAAGAGTTGAGCCCCTGGGCGCCCGCGCTCCTCCCACTCGGCCAGCGACGCGACGCCCAGGCGGCGGCGCTGCGCCGTGCTGCGCTCCAGGAGGCTGGGCGGCACCAGGCCCGAGGCGTAGAGGCGGCAGACGGCCTCGGGGCGCGGGGCGGGGGGGGGCCCCCTTCTGCTCCGCCTCCTGCAAGCATGCAGAAGCGTCGGTGCACCCTCCCCTCCGCACACTGTGGCCATCTCCGCGCAAGAGACGAACCAGAAACGCAGTGGACGGCCCTCCTTCTCCACTTTTTGCTCCTCCTCATCCCCATCCTCCTCCCCCTCCTCCTTCTCCTCCTCCTCCTCCTCCTCCTCCTCCTCCTCCTCGTCCCCTTCCTTCCTCCTCCTCCTCCTCCTCCTCCTCCTCCTCCTGCTCGTCCTCCTGTTCCTCCTGCCCCTCCTCCTCCTCCTCCTCCTCCTCCTCCTCCTCCGCCTATCCTTGGCGCAGCCCTGCAACCGCTCGCCCGTCCTCGCACGGCCGATTTGTTTCCGAGGGGTTCCCCCGCCGCGGCGAGGGAGCCCGTCACAAGAGGTTTCGAGATCTGCACATGTCCACCGCCGCCGGCCAGGTCCATCCCGGGCCCGCGAGCGGTGTGTACGCCCCCCGGGCTTGCCCAAGGGGTGCATGTTCGACGCTCCTGGGCCCAAGATGGGCCTGGCCAGCGGCAGTGGACATGAATAGATTTAGTCGCTCTTCACGGGCGTTGCTTGCACAGGGTGCGGTTTGCAGCCCGCGCCCCGTGGGGCGGGCGGGACCTCGACAGGGATCTCCGCCGCGCCCCGACGAAGGCTCATCAAGCCTTTGGAGCAGGCGCGGTGGTCCCCTGAGCCCCAACGGCGCCGATCGCAAACTGCACCACACCCTTCGAAAGCCTTCCCGGTACTCACTCGATGTTGGAAAACCTGGGGGCGCTTTGTGTCGGCCGCCCTCCGCCTGCCTTCCCCTTCGCCGGCGTGTCTCTGCCCAGCGCGGCCCGCCGGCTCAGCGACCGCATGGGCGCTCGCTGTCGCCGCGGACCAGAAGAATGTCCTGGGAGGCGCTCGGGCCCGGGTGTGCAACCGTGGCCGGTCGAGGCCCTTCCGGGGGCCCATGCATCCGACGATGTGTTGTGCTCAACCCAGGAGTTGTCCATCGATTTCGGCCTCTGGGGCCCGCCGTTGGGTCGAGAGTATCCTTCTTGTCGCAGATGCAGCATGGAACAGAATGTGGTGCATAATTCGATGGGGTGGATACAAGATGTAGGATGGGAGTGTTTTCCCGCTAGCGGACATTGAACGTCCAGGCATTTAGGGCGCGCGGGCGCCTTCGGCGCCCGAACCCAAATTGCAACGGGATGATTCTATGTTGGCACATCCTAAAACCACTCATTACGGTTCCGTTGTAGCCGGAAGGGGAGGAGACAAATATAGGCGTGCATCTCCCGCCAAAATACTGTTCTCGAGTGCAGCGGCAGCGCCTGAAAGGAAAGGCCCCGAGGTCTTGGCCTGGCCCGCGCAGCTCAAAGGACGCGCGTGTACTGAACAATCTCACGGAGAGGTAAAACATAAACTATCGTGCGTCCAACCGTTTCGGGTCACCTAACATAGGAGGAAGGCACCCCATTATGATTGGGCGCGGCGTTCCTCCTCGGCTAGAAACGGGATCACCATCGCCACTTACTTGGTTCCTCTCCGTGTAAACGTACATGCAAAGAAAGCCGCCGATGCAATGGCAAGAATAGTGACAGTCGTGTTCGACAAACGCGGCACAGTAATGGTGACAGTCGAGCATTTGCTTCCATCGCGCGCAATGGTGTGCTAAGAACGTGCTCAACAAATAAGAACATACGATGATACATTGCATATCGAAATCGCAACCGGCCCATTCGAGGCTGCCAACAATCCGCGTGAGGCATTGCCACGGAATGGGACAAATGTCTTGACTCTATGTCGAGAGTTCTGCCTGCCCAGGATTGTCTCCAACAGCGACTCCCTGGCATTGCTATCTTCAGTATGTCCGCCGGCAATCATGATTCGCGCGTCAAGCCACTGCGCGTCATGCATAACGCCTACTTCCATCATTTCCCGCATCCAACAACTGCGTCGTAGTATTGCACCTTTCGTCGGGATCTTTACCGTCTTTACTCGATGATGATTTGCATGCTGACGCTGGGACTGGTCATTGCAATATCTCGATGGACAGCCCGCCTGGTTCCCGGATGTCGCGGAGGACTTTAAGCGTTCACGGATCAGACTTCAGCTCGTGCGCCTGAACAAGAGACGGGTCGCATTCGTCCAAGTTGCGGGCTGCTGCAAGCGCTTCAGCCGCATGACTTGATCGGGGTTGAGTTCGATGACGCTTGCAATGGCCATCTACGGGGTGCATGACAGGCTCTTGTTTCGGCGAAGTATCCCACGCCATGAGATTGGCTCCTCGCGCACCGTTTTCCTTCTCGTCGTCTTGTCCGTTGTCGGTGAGGCCGCGGCATCCCGAGTCGTTGTGCGCATCATCTTCTCCCGAAGTCTCCATCGCAGGGTACGCGATCTTCTTGAGTCGCTCATGAGTTTCCTGCTCGCAACGTTGGGCCTCCTATCTCGGACGTTCGCAGGCTCCTGTGCATCTGGGAGGTATGCGAGAAATTCCATTCGCCAAATTTGCGCGGGGATTGCGCAGGCAAGGGCCCCTTGCATGATGACGAACAGATCGGCTACTAACTGAGACGCTTTGTCTTCAGGTTTGGCTCCAGTGAGTTCAGTGTGGACAATGGGGCGCAGCTGTTTGATCTACCCATTCTGATCCAGCATTACGTCCCCATCCTTCGTCTTCACGCCCCTCGCTGTGCAGCTGAAATGCGTATGCTTGTTCAACTTGCAAAGTCAAAATACCATGACTGCTCGATTGGCATATAGCGCAGAATCGTTTTGTGTCTCCAAACCGGTCACGTTGATGTCGACACCGTGCTTCGCTGTCGGGAGATCGCTGCCGAGTGCAAGCTCCCGGTCGAAATTCCTGGGCGGACGACCGAAATCACGAGTCGCGATTCGCTGTGGAGGATGCTCGTGGGGCGCCCTTGGTGCCGTTTCCTGGCTTCAGGCATTGGACACAGCGGCGACTGTCGTTGCGATGGCCAGATCCTGATAGTTCGCGAAGAATGTGTGCACTGCACAGAGGCAGTGTGACGCGCGCCGTGTGGTGGCATATTGTAGCCCTTGCCCTCGCCTTTGTCCATGCAAGCACATATCCAGTCAGGGTGGCGCGCCGATTTGCTCGCCAAGAGTCGCTGTGACGTTCATAGCGCCATGCCCGAAAATGTTTCCACGCCACCGGCGCCCGTGTCCATGCGACCTCCAAGTACTAAGCGAAGCCGCATGGTGCGATTCATCTCGCCATCTGCTCATGTAAGAAACTACCACTTGAATGCATCGCACGAAGTCATTGGGTTACTGGCCTTGGGGATTTCTTGCACTTTGTGATCGTGATTATGAATCCAGCGCTTCAAAGACCTTGTTTTGCCAGGTTTTGTTCGGCGTCTTCCTCTGTTAACAGATCGTCTTCCTTGACAACTGGAACCCGTTCAGCAGCTGCAGCGAGACATGCCCGCAGCGACGCGATGCAGTCTTGATGGCGATGGCGGTATGCATTTGCGTTCGCGGGTGGTTCTTGATATTGCGATTCGTCCAACAGTGGTCTGGCTCCGGACCTCTGCTTATTGCGGCTGTTTGCAACAGTGCGTCCTCTCGGATAGACTCCACAAGGAGGCGCCAACAACAGCTAAGAGCTGCTCCAAGGGGTGGGGGTGCGAGGGCCCGCGCCGATCGGCAAAACAATGAATAAGAGAACGCTCGCCTGTTTCTACCGTTGGCTGCAGGTCTGTTTACCGCTCTCTCAACTCAGCTTCCCATGATAGCCACATCGCTTGAATGAGCACGAGGTGCGCGACAGGATCCGTCCAGGCCCCGTCTATCCTAACTCCGTAATTGATGGCGTCGCTTGGGGTTGTCATCGCAATGTGGAGCGCTGTGATGCCCAGGTCACGCTGGAGCGCCGCAGCCTGTTATTGTGGGGTCGTGCGCCCGCTCGCTACGTTGAGCCATCCATCGGCTTCCAGCGCACAATATTGGAAAAATGCATTGTCTTGCGGGGGCCAATACGGTCCTCGCGCGCTTGTGTCCTCACTTCCTCTGCGCGCGTAGCTGTCAATGGACCCAGGTGCAAGCCAAAGGGCTGCAACAATAAGGGGTGCTAAGCGCACAAAGAAATGCAGTTTGCCATTGGCTTGTATTATCGACGATCGCCGTCCGGTGCCCTTCGGGGATCTATTATCAAGTTCCCTCGGAAAGGCCTGCTCCCAAGCAGCTTGTGTCCAATCGTGTGAGTTGTCGGATCCTTCTGCTTGTCGGCATTCCTTGTGGTGATACTGAATTGGATGCCCGAGACAGGTACAAGCTCGATTTCTTGTGCAGAAACGCAGCGACTGCTGTGCACAGTGTCGACGCTTGCGCTGGCCAGGGCGGCTGCTGCGTGTGCCTTTGACACTTCGCACCACCGAAGCCCCTCGCCAGGGGCATCGTGGGCCCTATTGTCAATGGTGTAGAACCTCATGCCTTCTATTGCTCCTCTGGGGGGGCGCCGCTCATCCTCGGCTCTGGCTGGTGGCATGGAGGTCGCGGGTCGACGTTGCCATTCCCCCCGCCCCCGTGGGCGGTCGCGAAAAGAAGGCACGACGAGAGGAGGAGCCCCCCAGGTCCCTGAGTGCCCCTGGGGGGGGGGAGGGGGGGGAGGGGGGGGAGGATGCCCCTCCTTCTCCTCCTCCTCCTCCTCCTCCCCCTCCTCCTCCATTCCATTTCCTTGCACATAGCTTCTCCCTGTCGCACCACGAGGCCGGTTTTTAGTGCGGGCCAGGCGTTTCGCCTGTAATACCTCCTCACCACTTATGACCCTGAGGCTTAAACATTGGCAAGAGTTTCGCGGACTGAGAGCGGTTCCTCTTCAAAATGCGGCTCTCACCCTAGCGCCGCGCACATTTGCTTAAAACAAATTACAGAAGTTTCACACGTTGAGGGCGGGTTGTTTTTCAAAATGTGGCTCTCTCGCCTTAGCGCTGCGACGCTCGTTTCAAACATGTGTAAGAGTTTCGCGGATTGAAGGCGGGCCGTTTTCAAAATGTGACTCTCGCCATAGCGCCGCGCACACTCGCTGTAAACATGTGTAAGGAGTTCCACGGATTGAGGGCGGGTTGTTTTGAACATGTGGCCCTCGCTTCTTGCACATTCGTTCTATCTGTTTGCAAGAACTTCTTGAATTGAGGGCGGGTGTTTTTTTAACATATGGCTCTCGCCTTAGGGGCGCGCACCACCTTTCGAAACCATTGCAAGAGTTTCACGGGTTCCCGCGGTCGACGTACCAGAAGTGGTGCTTTGGAGAGATTCAGGTATGACGGTGCGACAATTACGTTGATTCGCGATGTTCGAGTCCCAAGAAGGGTGTTCTGGCAAGATTCCAAATCGTCAAGACTCAACAGTCAGCTTGATCCGTGGCGTTGGAGTCCCGAGAATTATGATTAGGCATTCTTCAGGGTCTTCAAAGGGTTGTCTTCCAATGAGAGAGGTCCCTCCGTCGAGAGAAACACTTGCATGGTTATGTGAAGAAGGATCTAGGAGGAGGGCTTGTGCCATCATCGGTGATGGCTCTTGGACTTACACTGGTCCTCCTCCTCCCTCCTCCTCCTCCTCCTCCTCCTCCTCCTCCTCCTCCTCCTCCTCCTCCATCTCCTCCTCCCCCTCCTCCCTCCTCCCCTCCTCCTCCTGCCCTCCTCCTCCTCCTCCTCCTCCTCCTCCCTCCTCCTCCTCCTCCTCCTCCTCCTCCTCCTCCTCCTCCTCCTCCTCCTCCTCCTCCTCCTCCCTCCTCCTCCTCCTCCTCCTCTCCTCCTCCTCCTCCTCCTCCTCCTCCTCCTCCTCCTCCTCCTCCTCCTCCTCCTCCTCCTCCTCCTCCTCTTTCCTCCCCCTCTCTCCTCCCCCTCCTCCTCCTCCTCCAATCATTCAATCTGAATACTACTCTCCCTCTTCCCCTGATGACGGTTTGAAAATGCTCGACACCCCCCCCGCGCTGTGTGTTTTATAACAAATTTCCCCGGAATTGGGTTTTCGCCTGCATTTGTTTTCAAAATGCTGCTCTCGCTGAAGCGCCGGCCTCATTTTCGGGCCCCGCTCGTTCCGAATCGTGCTCCCGCTGCAGCACTGGCCTCATTTCCGTGCTTCCGCTCGTTCCGAATCGTGCTCCCGCTGCAGCTCTGGCCTCATTTCCGCGCTTCCGCTCGTTTCGACTCGTGCTCCCGCTGCAGCGCTGGCGTCCTTTCCCATGCCATGCCACGGCATGCAATGCAATGCTAGGTTGAAACTACGCTTTGCGGTGCTCTTCTACGCCATGCCATGCCGTGCTCTACAATACATCGCGTACCCTTTCGGGATCCTTGCCCTGCTCGACATCCGACTGTGCGAGTAGAGAGGGGATCTACGCCACTAGTAAGGGATGGGAGGGAGGGGTAGGATGTCAGATATGACGCGAGCGCACCTAGCTTGCCCTCCTCCCCCTCCTCCCCCTCCTCCTCCTGGGCCTGCCGCCCCTCCCAGCGCGCCTGCGCCGTGGCGCGGAGGCCCCGGCCGGCGGCGCACCCGCGCCCCTCCAGCAGCTCGGGGCTGTTCGCCTCCCGCGCGCACCCCCCGCCGAGGAGGAGCGGCAGGACGGGGGGCGGCAACCGAGGAGCCTAGGCCTCGTTCTGGGCTGTCGTCGTGTGTTTCCGCGCTGGTCGGCCGCAGCCAGGAGGGTGTCCCGCGGGGTGAACAAAAAGAGGCCCCCCAGCGCCCTCCAAGGCAGCCGAGCTCTGCCCGCCTTCCCTGCTCTGCCCGCCTCCCCTCCCCCGCCCCCTCCCGGAATTTGGACGCCCGGAATGGGTACGGATAAAACGGGCACAATGCCCAACAACAAATGTTGTCCCAAATCAACAGCGGCCGCTGTTGGGCAGGCGGCCGTCTGTCTCGAATGGACGCAGGTCGCAGCGGCGTGGACAGCGAGTCCTGTTCAAAATGAACAGGAACTGCTGGTGGGCATTGTACCCATTCCTTCCGTACCCATTTCGCTCGTGCCGACTGAGTTCCCGCCTCCGTCCCCCGCCTCGCCCGCACGGCGCCTGCTCCCCCCCCACCCAACGCGGACCGCACCAGCCCTCTGAGCGCAGGCGGTCAGGGGCGTTTCCTCGTCCAGCCCCCTCTGCAGTGGGCTATGGCGGATCACCCGCAACATTGGGTCTCGCCATCCAGCACTTCCAACAAAATTCGTAGCACGCACCATTCCTGGAAAAACTGTGTCCGCACTTCCAATGATTGCCTTGTGTCTGCTGCGTAGACTGGGCTGGCATCGGTCGACTCTGGTACATGGGGCCACTCTGAAAACAGCGCACCGAAAGACCCGCCCAGCCTCCTTCAGGCAGAAGGCTTTCGGTCGCAAATTGGCTAAGGAGAAAGTGGAGGAGGAGGAGGAGGAGGACGAGGAGGACGAGGAGAAGGAGGAAGAGCCTTCGGTCGCCCGTAAATGTTTCCCTTTCACATATACGACCACCCGTCGGCTGATACGGAGATTGGGGGTGGGGGGAAGAACCAACTGCTGACAAATGCGGTAGGTGTGATGATGGCGATGCTAGTGACGCGATCTCGACAACGCGACGACGCGTGATGACAATGTTGCGCTGCGATGTTATGTCCCTATCGTCCCCACTTTCTATCTCATAACCCATGTCACCATCAACCTTACAGTCGATGTCACTTGTGATCTCACCATCCATCTCATTCTGTCGATGCCATTATCGATCTCACTATCGTCTTCACTATCGATACCAAAGGGGGACACCCCCGGCCAACGCCAACCCACCGCAGACGGAACACCGACGGGACACCATGGCGGGACACACCGGGCCACCGCGCGCCCACCGGGGGCAGAGGGGCGGTGCACTGCATCCGAGTCGCCCTAGCGACGGCGGGTTCATTCCTCTCGTGCGCCTACGCAGCTCCGCCTCGCCCGCACGCACGACACGAATACGGATACGAAACCGAAACCGACCGATGTCCTGGTGGGGGGCTCCGTTCCACGGCGATCCCATCCCCCAACCTCTTTGGACGCCCGAAATGGGTACGGAAAGAATGGGTACGATGCCCAACAACAAATGTTGTCCCAAACCAACAGCGGCCGCTGTTGGGCAGGCGGCCTTCTGTCTCAAATGTACACAGGCCGCGGCGACACCGACAGCAAGTCCTGTTCAAAATGAGCCAGAACTGCTGCTGGGCATTGTATTCATTCTTTCCGTACCCATGTCGGGCGTCCAGAACCTCCGGCTTGACAGGTACTGCCCGCCAGCAGCCCCATGGGGACCTCTCCCCTGAGGCCGCCTGGCTCTGTAGATTGATCACCCCCCAGTAGCGACCGCTGCTGGGGGGGATGGCCGAGTCAGGATGACACCAGGGCCAGGAGAGAGAGAGAGAGAGAGGAGCGAGGAGCATTTGGGAGCAGGACGACGCCTGGCTCTCTAGATTGATTACCCCCAGTAGCGACCGCTGCTGGGGGGCATGGCCGAGTCAGGATGACACCAGGGCCAGGAGAGAGAGAGAGGAGCGAGGATCTTTTGGGAGGAGGACGACGAGGAACCGCCAAGGGGGGGGGGGGCGCACCAGCAGCGGGTCTGCGCACCAAGGCTGCTCGGCCACGAGCTGCTCGTAGCTCAGCCACGCCGGAGGCCTCTTGCCTCCCGCAAGAGCACGCAGAGGATGCTGAGGAGGAGAGGGCTCGAGGTCTTGCGCATAGGGTTTAGGGTTTAGGGTTTAGGGTGTAGGGTGTAGGGTGTAGGGTTTAGGGTTTAGGGTTTAGGGTTTAGGGTTTAGGGTTTGCTCCCCCGATCCCCATCTTGGCGGCGCGCGCCAAGGGGGTATGGGGGAGGGGGGAGGCTTCTGTGAAGCCTGAGTGCTTCTAGGAGGCCTTCCTCCCTCCCCCTACCCCCCGCTGCGCGTGGCCGGCTATCCCCACCGGCGCAGCCTGGGCCCCACCAGCCGATGTAACCCCCCCCCCCAGATGTGGACGGGGGCTGCTCCCTTCCGGCGTCGAGGGGCACAGCCCCGAGTGGGGTGGCGGGATGGTGGGGGTCGGGGCGGGGATGTGGATGGGGATCGTTTTAAAGTGACGCCGATTCCAGGACTGCTGCCTTCGCATCCTACGCCGCTGAGCTTCACGGCAAAAAAACAAAACAAATGAGACAGCCAAGGCAAGGACACGCAGAACGAAGAGCATGAGGACACAGATGCCGAGGAGATCATGAAACACATCCGAAGCGAGGGGCTTTCCACCTCCTTTCCTACCTCCTCCTCCTCCTCCTCCTCCTCCTCCTCCTCCACCTCGACATCCACTTCCTCGCATTCATCATCCGTTCAATTCGTTTTAAATTCGCCGATGGTCGAAGCGCCGTCAAATCACAACGTGGCGTTCGAAGCTCGAGGCCTTGGTCGAGGCGCTAACAGAAGGTCTGCCAGACTGCGTGGTGTTGCGTACTTGCCACGCAGACAACGTGGTGAAGGTAATGCTAGCCGAGGTCGAGCTGGCAAATGAGACGGTGTTCGTTGTCATTTCAAGTGATGGGTGCGTTCGTTGACGATGGGGTCACCCGTCAGGCTACCTAGACAAGGAAATGAAGATCAGCGAATGTGTCGACGTGTCGAAGAGCCTTAGTTCGACCACATTGCCAACGATGGTGACGACAATGGTCCGGACATCTCTTTACAAGGTTCAACCCCTGCCGGATCAGCGAATTCAAAGAGGCGGATGACTTGTGAGGCCGCCTTGCGAGCCTCGACACGTGCCAGGAGAGCCTACATTGGTTCCGTCCGACCGAAGGCTTCCAGCCCGCCTCGCTTCTGGAGAGCAACTCTGGAGGAGGCGGCATGATGGCAGTGTACGGAACGTGGGCTACATCACGTCTGGAGGGGTAGGGTGGCCCAGGATGGTTTCACCCAGTGCCACCACGACAGATGTACCAGAACCGACATGTGAAGAAAACGAGGCTTACAACATGCAAGCAGTCCGTCGTTTGCGCCGCAAGGTTTTGCAACAGTGATCAGTTCGCAGGCGCGCGGCCGACTGCGTTGCCTGTGGACTTCGACGCTAAAATCTCGACGGGTCCAAATTTGCGACGGACGCAAACTAGAAGCCTCCCAGACGGGGTTCGAATAGATGGGGTCGGAAGATCGCGCCGCATCGCCGATGCATCGGCGACGCCAGCGTGCAGGAAATCTGGCTCCACATCGGGCCGCATCGGCGATGTATCGGCCGGCGATGCGGCGCGATCCTCAGACCCCATTTACTCGGACCCCATCTGTCGAGTAGGGCATCGACTACAGTTGATCCGTATCATAAGGATGCGCGTTGAGGATGCAAGGGCCTTGGAGGCCCATGGTAACGTTTCTCGTACAAGGTTGGCCAGCGAAAGTAGCCAAGGATGGACCGAGGAGGCAGGGATGCAAGGGCACCCTTGGGAAGACCGCCCATCCTTACCATGCGGGTTGACTGCACAACATTGGTTCCCCAACATCAATTTCCCCGTCGGATCGACAAACCAACATCGTAACAACAACTCTGGGGGTACATCGAGTCTCTGGTCGATCCCCGACTCGAATCTGGGAGGCCTACGGCAGGTTCGTGTCGTGCCGACCCCAGCGTTGGTTTTTGACACCGCAGGAGTCGTTCAACCTTGAACGATCGGCCGCTGCCGCAACGTCCCATCGTTCAACATCGATCGATTCTGGGTCGCCGGCGGCGTTCAACCTTGAACGCCCGCGCTGGGGTCGCCGCTGGTCGACACGACGCAAACATACCGTACGCAAACACAGGCCCTCCTCTGTGTGCCTCGGTGTCGAGGCTCCCCTCGGTGTTCGCTCCCTCGAGGGGCTCGCCCCCCTGGTCGTCCGCGTCCGACCCGCGCCCCCATCGCGAGGCGCGGGTGGGGCGGCTGCCCTTTTCCGATACACTGCCGCGGCGGAGACCTGAAGTCGCTGGTCTTCGAAATCCCACCAGCCCTTTGGGCGTGAGTGGTTTAGGGAGCTCTCTCTGTTCTCAACCCCCTTCTTCCCCTTCGGGGAGGGGTTTACCCCTCCCCCTACCCCCTCCCCCTGGACCTGGAGAGGGAGTTCCGCGGGTCGTCAGGGGGGTCTTTTTCGACGTCTGGGAGGGCCAAAAAACGACGACCCTCACGACCCTCACGGGGTTTTCGAAATTGTCTTGAAGTCGCTGGTTCCCTCGACGCGCTGTCTGCATACTTTCACCCCTCAGGTGGGGCGGCAGCATCGCGGGAGTCGGCAGTGAGATCCTGGTGCCCGAAGACAGGGTAGCACCGCAATTTGACATCGCGGTGCCATGTTTCACCTTGCTCGCGCGCCGTCTGGCGCTAGGCTTCTCGCTCGCTCGCTCGCGGCGGAGACGAGCGCAGAGTGCAGGCAACCCGTACTCGAAGGACGCGCGGTGAGGGTGCGAGGGCCTTGGGGAGGCCGTCTTCGAAGCTTCCCGAGCGGGGCGCGGCCAGCGAAAGCGGCCAAGGATGGGCGGGAAGGGGCAAGGATGCAAGGGTACCCTTGGGAAGGTTGCCCATCCTTACTGTGCGGGTTGACTGTGCTGTATCCCGCGATCCACTGGAATTCGGCGACAGATTCGAAACGCGGGGTGTCGATTGTGAGCTCCTTGCAGCCCGAGTGCTGCAGGTTCTAGCGTTCGGTGTCGAGTAACTCAGCCCCGCCTGCGCACTGCTGCTGATGCAAATCTTCCTGGACAGTCCACCGTATTTGCACGAACGACCCTCTCGTGTCACAATAACGGGTCATCCTTGTCATACGAACGAACAGTTCATGGAATCGTGAGAGAAGGCGATCTTGTCAACGTTCGACCATCAGACCAGCTGCGGCCGCAAGTCCGCAACCTATCGGCACACGGCAGCAAACTGAGACGGGATGTGCGGCACCAGCAGCCGCGTGGAAGACGGGAACGCGCAGAGACAAAACGAACGAACGAGCCACCGGTGCGGATGGACGCCCAGGCCTCGTGCGACCAGGCGCGTGAGGCCAGAGTCTCGAGATACTTCAGTGTGTGTTGCGGGACATTCGCGCAAGACATATAGCAAGTTTTGAAGGGGCCCTGGGACACACAAATAAGTACACACACACACAAATTCGCCGGCCCAACGGGCCAGGGCGTGCTAAGATCTCCGGTAACAGGTAAACAGTATTTCTAGTTCGCGCGCGCAGGGCGGCCCCTGGGGTCCCCGAGCGAAAAGTACCCCGGGCGATCCCGGGCAGATCCCCGGCAGACTAGGGGTCAGAGATGCCGGAATTCTGTTTCGGAGCCCAAGAGCGCTCCAGATCGCCCCAAGAGGGCCCCAAGAGGCCCCAAACATGGTCCAAGAGGGGCCCCAGACGCTTGAAGATCGCTCCACGACGCCCAAGATGGCCTCCAGACGGCCCAAGAGGCCTCCAAGATGGCCCAAAAAGCATCTAAGAGGCCTCCAAAAAGGGCCCCAAGAAGCAAACATCGTTGATTTTCCATTGGTTTTGAAGGTTTTTGGCGTTCTCGCATTTTCAGCTTCCGACGCTCCAAGACGCCCCAAGAGGCCCCAAGCGGCCCGAGAGGTCTCCAAGAGGGCCCCCAAACGGCCCAAGATGGCCCCAAGACTGCCCAAGAGGCCTCCAAGACGGCCCAATACACCCCCAAGACGGCTCCAAGAGAGGGCACAGACGGGGGACCCGAACGGGCATTTCGACATCTTTGCCCGAAGAGGCCCCCAGGAGGCCCCAAGAGGCCCCCAAGAGGCCCCAGGAGGCCCCAAAAACACCTCCAACAGGCCCCCGAGAGGCCTCCCAAGAGACCCCACGAAGCCTCCCAAAGAGGCGTCTTGTCCACGACCAGGGTTGACCCCAAAAATAGTCCAAGAAGCCATCGAGAGACCGCCTCCTCGTCCTCATCCTCCCCTCTTCATCCTCCTCCTCCTCCCCCTCCTCCAACTTCTTCTCGCTCGCCACGAACACACAAACATATAGCACCAGCGATACAATGTGGGCCGGCGGAATGAGCGAAGCGATTAAATAACAGGATTCCCTGTATTTTCAAACATTGTTCTGGGTTTTTGTCTTCCCACACGCTGCCCATATTTTCAAATATTTTCTGGGGAATCGACGATTCATTATGTCTGTGTGTTTTTTCCCTCCTGAAGTTTGTTGGAGCAGAGGGGGAAGAAAAGGCAGTGCAACCGGCATCGTCGTTGCTTCGTGGTGCTGCGCCGCTGGGTGGGGTCGGCACTGGGTGGAGTCGCCGAGCGGCAACAAAAATACAGAGGAGCACAGAAGCCATACAGACGTCCAGTGGCAGGGATGGCTGCAAGTACCCATCGGACGGAAGAAGCAGGTAGAAACATGAAGTAGGAAGGTGTTGGAAATATATTGAGTTCCGTCCGCCCCCTAAGAAGGACAGAAAAGGTGAAGCCACTCGATCATTGAAATAGGAAGGCGCTTCAAGTAGATTGGAATATGGGAATCCACAAGTACCTACTTTCAACGACCGATGGGTAGTGTCAGCTTGTGATTACCAAATCCGTGGGGGGCGCGTGTTTGAAACAAGAACTGTCCCTGCGAGTCGCGGGATGGCGCCCGCCAGATTGAAAATTAACGGCGGCGGCGGCGGTGATTAGCGCCGACGCGCGGCCGGGTATAGATCACCGGGGGCCTTGGCTACCCTAGGCCCTACCCAAGGTCCTAGGCTTCCCAAGGGTAGGCCCTACCCAAGGCCCTAGGCTTCCCAAGGGTAGGCCCTACCCAAGGCCCTAGGCTTCCCAAGGGTAGGCCCTACCCAAGGCCCTAGGCTTCCCAAGGGTAGGCCCTACCCAAGGCCCTAGGCTTCCCAAGGGTAGGCCCTACCCAAGGCCCTAGGCTTCCCAAGGGTAGCCCTACCCAAGGCCCTGGGCCCCAGGGGTAGCCGGACCCCTTTGTAGCGGGAATCCGAGCCGGCAGCATCCCTCCTCCCTCCTCCCTCCGCACGCCTCCTCCCTCCTCCCTCCTCACTCCGTCCGCCCGCCTCCTCCCTCCCCCCTGCTCCCGCCGCCTCCTCCTCCTCCGCCGCCACCTCCTCCTCCTCCTCCTCCTCCTCCCTCCTCCACCTCCTCCTCCTCCTCCCTCGCTACTCCCTCGATCCCCTGCTTCCCCCCCCCCGCTCCCCCTTCCGAGGGCAGGGCGCCCGCGCCGCCCCCCGGCGACCGCGGCCCCGGCGCCGCAGACCCCCCCTCGCAGACCCCCCCTCTGGGACCCCCCCTCGCTGACCCCCCCTCGCAGACCCCCCCTCGCTGACCCCCACTCGCTGACCCCCCCCTCGCTGACCCCCCCTCTGGGACCCCCCCTCGCTGACCCCCCCTCTGGGACCCCCCCTCTGGGACCCCCCCTCTGGGACCCCCCCTCGCTGACCCCCCCTCACAGACCCCCCCTCACCGGTCTATCCTAGGGTTGATGCCTTTAGTCGGGCGGGCGGGCGGGACATTAAAGGCATTGATTGCTTGCTTGTGTGGTGGATTACCAATTGCTTCCCGTTGGTACCGGATTACGAGTAGATTCCATTTGTGGCGGATTACAAGCTGATTCCTTTTGTCGGGCGGGCGGGCGGGACATTAAAGGCATTGATTGCTTGTGTGGCGGATGGCAAACTGATTCTTATTGTGGCAGATTACACATTGATTCCTTTTGTCTGGCGGGCGGGCGGGACATTAAAGGCAATGATTGCTTGTTTGGTGAATTGCGAATGGATTCCCTTTGGCAGCGGATTTTCAACTTATTCCTTTGGTCGGGCGCCTTTTGCCGGGCGGGCGGGCGGGACATTGAAGGCAATAATTGCTTGTGTGGTGAATTACACATGGATTCCCTTTGGCAGCGGATTGCAAACTTATTCCTTTGGTCGGGCGGGCGGGCGGGACATTAAATGCATTGATTGCTTTCGTGGCGGATTACAAAGTGATTCCATTTGGCAGCGGATTGCAAGTTGATTACTATTATGGCGGATTACAAGCTGATTCCTTTTGTCGGGCGGGCGGGCGGGACATTAAAGGCATTGCTTGCTTGTGTGGCGGATTACACAGACTGAAGGCCCTAGGCTTCCCAAGGATAGGCCCTACTGGACACCCTAGGGTAGCCCTAGGGTACCCCTAGGGGTAGGCCCCAGAGGTAGCCCTAGGGTAGCCCTAGGGGTAGGCCCTAGGGTAGCCCTAGGGTAGCCCTAGGGGTAGGCCCTAGGGGTAGCCCTAGGGTAGCCCTAGGGGTAGGCCCTAGGGGTAGCCCCAGGGTAGCCCTAGGGGTAGGCCCTAGGGTAGCCCTAGGGTAGCCCTAGGGGTAGGCCCTAGGGGTAGCCCTAGGGTAGCCCTAGGGGTAGGCCTAGGGGTAGCCCTAGGGTAGCCCTTCCTTGGGTGATCTATAAGCGCGGCCGACAGCGAGGAGGCGACAGAAAGAGCACGGACTGGGGGGAGGGGGGGGGGGCGGGAGGCAAGGGCGGCAGAAGCAGGGGCCGTGAGCCAGGGCGACAATTGTTCGAAATGAAAAAGATCTCCTGTAGGCCTTTGCCCCCGAACTTTCTGTGCGTTTTTGTTTCAAGCCGATGCGCGTCCTTCGCCCTGGCCGCAGCCAGGGGGGCGCCACCTGCCTCGCGGGCCCGCGGACAAAGCGGGCCGGACGAACAGGGGGCGTGGCCAGGCGGGAATGCGCCAAGCAGCTTACCGTGCTGATTTTCCAAGCGCCCCTTGGCGCCGAAAGCGGCCGTGCATCAAGGACTGGCCCCTCGGCGGGGCGACCGAAAGCAGCTGCGCGCAACAGCCTTCGCAACCCTCCATTTCCTTCCCCAGCCTTTCGCCAGACCCGAGGCGTTCAGTCCTCCCCCCCCGTCCGTCGTGGTCTCTGTAGTCGTCGACGACGACGACGACGACGACGACGAAAACGAGCAGGCCCGGTGTAGCCGACGACGGCGACGACGAACGACGACGACGACGACGACGACGACCCACTGCGGATGCCGCATGGGGGGGAGGGGGTGCTTCGTAGGCCTGCTGTAGTCGACGACGACCACGACGACCATGACGACGACTATGACGACTATGACGACTATGACGACTATGACGGCGACGACGACGACGACGAGGACGAGGACGAGGACGACGACGGCGGCGGCGACGAAGAAGACGACAAAGACGATGACGAGGACGACAATTACTACGTCTGAGAAAGATAAGCAATTCGCCTCGGATGTATACGATCCCTATCACCACTTCTATACGAAAGGCAATCGTTCTGAGGTGGCTCTGGTGATCGTCCGAACGCGCCGAACGACCCCCCCTCCTCTTCCTCCTCCTCATCCTCCTCCTCCTCCTCCTCCTCCTCGTGCCCCTCCTCCACCTGCCTTTCTTCCCCTCAGGCCTTCGTCGTCCTGGCTCTCGGACTGCGCCATCCTGTCCTCCAGCAGCTCCCAGAGCACGGAGGTCGGCACCTCCTCCAGCAGCCTCGCCAGAGCACGCGGGGGGGGGGGGGGATGCCGCTCGCTCGCTGTCGGGGCGGGCCGGACCTGCCTCGCCGAGGGAGCGCCCGCTCGGGCGGCGCGCCTCAACACGCGCTGAGGGGGACGGTCGGCTCGGCCTGGCAGGGCCTCGTCCGAGCAGCGAGGGCGTCGCGAGGATCTGGTCGGGGCACCCGCCTCGCTGCGGGCCGCACCTTTCCCCATGAGGGGAGCGGGTCCTGAAGCTCTTCGCTACTGTTTCTGGATGCCCGGGGCCCTCCACGGGCCCCAGGGCTGCCAAAGGTCGATTCCTCACTTCCTCCTCTTCCTCCTCCTCCTCCTCCTCCTCCTCCTCCTCCTCCTCCTCCTCCTCCTCCTCCTCCTCCTCCTCCTCCTCCCCTCGCGTTCCTCCCCTGAGCGCCCCCTCCCCGCCCGCCCCCTCCCCCCGCGCTCCCGCTCCCCCGCGGCACTCTCCCTGGCATGAAGGACACGCGTCAGGAGGAGGAGGAGGAGGAGGAGGAGAAGGAGGAGGAGGAGGAGGAGGAGGAGGAGGAGGAATGGAGGTGGGGAGGAGGGGAGGGTGGAGCGGGAGGAGGGGAGCCAGAGCTGCCGGCGCGGCCAGCGAGCCCTGCGTGGAGACGTGCTCGGGGCCGACGGGCCTGTGAGCAGGTGGCCTGCTTGCCTCGCCTTGCCGCGTGAACGCGGCAGCGGCGGCGAGGCCTCTTGGCCGTCTTGGAGGCGAGTTGAGGATCTCTTCGGGTGGCTGGCGGGATCGGCCGCAGCCCCTGGAGGCCGTCTTACAGCCCCTGGGCCTGGCACGCTCCCGCCGCCCTGGCAACGCGAAGGCGGCCGGGAGCGACGATCGCAGGCTCGTGTTCTCCTCGGTCTGGGTCAGGTGCTGCGGCTCGCAGGCCAGAGGGAGTTTAAGTCGCACCCAGGGCGGAGTCCGGTGCCACAGCAGTGCATGTGTGAGGGTCACGTCAAGGAGGGGAGCCTTGCTGCCAGCAGAGCGGATCGGGCGGAGGGCCTAAAGCACGCGTACGTGCGCAGCTGGAGAGGGAGTGACCGGTTTTTTCCTTCCCAGGCAACGCTCGTTGCCTGAGGGGGGGGGTGTCGGGCGGGAGGGTGACAATAGCGGCGGCCGCGGCCGCGGCGTGCACCCGCCAGGGTGCGTGCGCGCCACGGGCGCATCCATCGCGTGTGTGCGCCACAGCATGTAGGGGGGGGAGGTCCAGGCCCCCCCCCCAAAACGATAGCTACTCAGCGTTGCCCGGGGGAGGCGGGGAGCCTGGAGAGCGTTCCCCTGGGGAGGCCCCTGTGGGCACGTGGTGGGCCACCTGCAGGCACGTGGCGGGAGAGCGGAGCCACGTGGGCCGGGCACGAAGGGGGCGGTGCGGCAGCGGTGGGGAGGAGGAGGGCGGGAGGGGGGAGCGACGGAGGGAGGGAAGGAGGGACACAGGAGGGAGGCAGGGGAGCGCGGGAGGCCGGGGAGGGGGAGGGACGGCGAGAGGGAGGGGGGGCAAGGGGGGGGGGGCGCGGGAAAGAGAGGCGGAGGAGGGGAGAGGGGCACTCGCGGCGAGGACTGCGGCGAGGAGGAGCCGAGAGAGCCAGCCGGGCCTGTGCCCGACGCAGGCCACGTCGCGCCCGCGGCCCTGCGGCGGGGCGCGGGCGAGTCACGCGGGACACTCTGCGGAGGAGGCGGAGGTTCGGGGAGGCCGTCCTCGGCGTCGTGGAGCTGGAGTGGCTCGAGGGGGCGGAGGCTCGGGGAGGCGGAGGGGCGGGGGCGCGGAGGGGGGGCCGCCTGGAGGGCAGTGTTGGCCTTGTAGACCCTCGAGGATCGAGAGGGGGAGGACACTTGCCGGACGTGTTGCTCAGACGGCGCCTCGGGAAGCCTCTGGGGGCCTTCGATGGGGGCTCTGAGGAACTCTGGGGGTCAGGATCTGGGGGGTCACCAAAACGCAGTACCCTCCCCCTCCTCCTCCTCTTGCAGGCCCTGGCTTTGGATTCCGCCGTTTCTTCCTCCTCCCCGCCAGAACCAGCTCGAGAACAGCCGGCGGAGGCGGATGTGGGATGGGGGAAGGATTGGGAGCACAGTCAACCCGTATCAGAAGGATGTACGATGAGGATGCAAGGGCCGTAGAAGGCCATGTCGACACTCTGCGAGCGGGGCGCGGCCAGCGAAAGCGGCCGAGGATGGGCCGAGGAGGGAAGGATGCAGAGTCGGGCCAGCGCGCAAGGGTAGGGGACGAGAAAGATTTCCCTCCCATCACCAGGAGTATCACACACCAGCAGATCACCATGCCAGGCTTGCTCAGCGAGAGCATATGGGGACATTCGGAGGAGAAGAGGAGGAGGAGGAGGAGGAGGAGGAGGAGAAGGAGGAGGAGGGGGAGATGGAGGAGGAGGAGGAGGAGGAGGAGGAGGGGAGGAGGATGAGGAGGAGGAGGAGGGAGGAGGAGGAGGGGAGATGGAGGAGGAGGAGGAGGGAGGAGGGGGAGATGGAGGAGGAGGAGGAGGAGGAGGAGGAGGGGGAGGGGGAGATGGAGGAGGAGGAGGAGGAGGAAGGAGGAGGAGGAGGAGGAGGAGGAGGAGGAGGAGGAGGAGGAGTCGGCGTAAGGATGAGGAGGAGGAAGAGGAGGAGGAGGAGGAGGAGGAGGAGGAGGAGGAGGAGGAAGGGCGAGTCCAGCTCTGCCGACGCTCGCAAGGTAAGCTTGGCGGTCCCTTTGGCCCACGTGGCTTCTGCGTACAGTCAACCCGTAGAGCAAGGACGTGCGATAAGGATGCAAGGGTCTTGGAAGGCCATGTCGACACTCTGCGAGCGGGGCGCGGCCAGCGCAAGCGGCCCAGGATGGGCCGAAGGGGAAGCATGCAAGCGCATCCTTGGAAGGTCGCTCATCCTTACTATGCGGGTCGACTGTAAGACAGGTGCGCCGACGTCGGCAGGGTGCCTTCGTCTCTGCGGAAGTAAAATGATGGCCGCCAAAGTGGCAGCGACAGCCGGGGCCCGATCTGTCTCACAGCCTTCCGCACCCGATTCTTCGGGACCGCCGAGACCAAGTCAGAGCAGCGGATCCACAGACAAGCCGCGCCGCATCCAGCCGAGGGCAACATGGTGTCGGAGCCGTGGGCAACGGAAGTAGTGAGGAGGCGAAGCGGCGCCAGGAGGAGGACTCCTGGGCAACACCCTTGCCTTGCCGACCCTCTGGGGCACACCAGCCTGGCAGCGGTGCGGGCCCTCCCCATCCGAGGGCCAGACGAGACGTCACGCAGAACACAAGTTGGCCGAGAAAGGAAACGACTCGCGCTCATGCAGGTTCTCACTGGGGTCATCTCAGGCCGTCTGAAATCGTCAACGGCCGCCTGGTACCCCTCAGGATGCGTTTTACAACAGGAGAGGAAGGCTGGGGCCTCAGGGGGGCAGCCGAAGAGCTTGAACTTCCGCTGTCTTGCCGGTCATCGCTGCGCGCTTGCAGCCATCCGTCTGCGCCCCTTGGGGGAGCGTGCGTGCAGGTCTGAAGAAGCGCTCGCCCTCGCCATGACCGCCAACCTTTCGACGAGGTCGCCGCCACAACTTCTAGGAAGCACCGCGGGACTCTCCTGCTAGGCAGGGGCTCCTACAGACCCACCGCTGCACGGATACATCCCAGGGACCCATGCGGCGGTGGACAAGGATGATTATTCTCAGCCTTCCCCGTTGAGGGATGAAAAAACGACCCTACCCTGGGTTACAAGTGCGTGGTCCGTAAACCTCCTGGGAACCTCCAAAGCCTAGAGCCGCCAGGACGCGGCACATCACGCAGGGCTTACCCTGTCAGCCCACAGGAGTTTCAGCGCACAGCGCCTCGTAAACCAGGCTCGGGGCGTTTTTTATGCCCTTGACCCCAGGCAGGCAGTGGACCTGGGCAAACTCCGGCCTCGGACCCCGAGCTGCCGGGCCCCTGGACGACGCGGCCCCCCGCGAGCTCCCCGCGGGGAGCTGCGGGGAGGCAGGCCGCGCGCGCCTCCGCGCCTCGGGCAGGGGCTGCGCGGAGGGCCCGAGGGCCCCGAGGTCCCGCGGGCATGTCCCCGGGGGCCCTCCGGGGGCGCCCGCGGGGTGTCGCCGGGCAGCCGCCGCCGGCGGGCGCCACTGGCGAAGGGGCCTCCTCTGGAGGCCTGCCTGTTGCATCGTGAGGTCTGAAGCTTGGGCTGAAAAACTATTCGTTCTCTGGTTTTTTTTACATAATATATGGTCAGGAAGCTCTACGAGTCCCCCGGCGGTAAGAAAGGTTGACGGTTTACCGCCGGCGCCCAGTTGGCCGACCCGACCAAAAGAGACAATGTGTCACATTTGGGTCGGGGGGGCTGGCAGCCGTCCGCCCCCGAGGCCGCCTGCAGAACTCCGGCGGCGGGCGGCGGTGCTGCGCCACGAGGAGTCCCGGGCAGGTCGCATCCCGCAGCGGGGAGGGGAGTGAGGGGGGCAGCGGCACGGGGGAAGCCTTGGGTCACAAGTGTTGCCCCAATAGCACCCAAGCGTTGCCCCCATGCGTAGCCCACATAATTCGACACCATCCGTGGCACCCGAGTATCGCCCTCAAATGTGTGGCGCCCCTAGACGCAGGGCCCCCAATCCATCCAAGCGCGGCCCGTGAGAAAGTAAGACTGTTCGGGCCCCCATCACTCTTTCGTTTGTTTGCACTGCGGGCGCCACGGGCTCCCTTTCCATTCTGCCAAATGCGCGGCATACCTGACCTGACCCGACCCCGCCCAGCAAACATCTATCTGACAGCCTAGGGCTTATGGCTTATGAACGCTTATCCGAGCAGGTCCGCGAAAGGAAAGTGAGAACTACGCTCAGGCCAGCCTCACTTTCATGATATGACAAGGGAGAAAGAGTGTCAGCACAGCATTCACACCGACCTCTCACCGGACGTGGGCGCGCTGATGTCCCAAGAAAGCGAGCGGTGTCCTGGTAGCAGATATCCTCGTGCAGCCCGAGCGGCTCCAACACCTGGCGCGCTGGGCCGAGGCTCTCCCCAGCTGTTGCTGCTGCTGCTCCTCCTCTCCCTACCCCGCCTCCCCCGCCCCCTCCTCCTCCTCCTCCTCCTCCTCCTCCTCCTCCTCCTCCTCCTCCGCCTCCTCCTCCTCCTCCTCCGCCTCCTCCTCCTCCTCCTCCGCCTGCTCCTCCTCCTCCTCCTCTTCATGGTGCTCCTCCTCCTCCTCCTCCTCCTCCTCCACCACCTCCTCCTCCTCCTCCTCCTCCTCCTCCTCATGGTGCTGCTCCTCCTCCTCCTCCTCCTCCTCCTCCTCCTCCTCCTCCTCCTCCTCCTCCTCCTCCTCCTCCTCCTCCCTCTCGGCCGCGCGAGAAGGCTGGGCTGCCTGGGGCACCGACTGCATATGGGTAGGGGGGCAGGGGGGAGGGAGGGAGGGAGGTAAGGGATGGATGGCGATATAAGGGAGGGAGGGATGTAAGGTGGGAGGTGGTGGTGGTGGCTTGGGCGGACATCGTGTGAGGCCGCGGGCGCAGCCCCTTTAGCGGCACCCCCTACTCAGGGATGGCTGGGGGGCAACTCACCACCTGTCGCGGGGGTCTAGTACCGCAGCGTCATCTCGCCACTCGATCCGAGAGATTTCCGGGGGTGTCCCCCTGGGACACCCTCCTCGCCCCACCGCGACCACTGGAAGGCCCAGCAGCACCAGCCCCCATATTCCTCAGGAGCGGGAGCCCCCCGAACCGGAGGGAGCTACAGCTGGAACCCCAACCCAGGGCTGGTGGGACCCGGGGATCACTCCAGGGGGGGCCGCCGTGGCCTTCCGTGCCAGGCGAGCACCAGCGACGCAGCGTGGGGATCGGCAGCGCGAAAGCTTCTGCTCACCTCCGCTGGGGCCCCGCCCGTCCTGGCACATCCCTGGTGCCACTGCGGGGCGAAGCTGCGAGGCGAAAAGAAGGCTGGAGGCCCTCCCCGTGGTGCAGCACCCCCGCCCCCGCCCCCAGCTCGCCTGCGGGACGCGGCCCCAGGGGCGGGGGGGGGAGGAGGATGCGGAGCGCACGGCGGGGGCTCCCCGAGGCACCCGGGGAAGTCCCCGGAACCCCAGGCGGGAAGGTGTCCGCACAGCCCCGATTTTCCCATCCACTCCTGCCCAAGGTTCCGGGCGCCTCCCCAGCGGCAGGGGGGCCACGCAGCGACGGCAACGGTTGCGATGGCTGTGACGGCACCTGCGAGCGCCCAGTCTCGCCCTGCCCAAAAACCTCGCTGCTGCCAGTCTACGCTCGCCGCGAGTGAGACCGCCTGCGCGTGCCCTGCCTCCCTCCCCAGCGCCCTCGCACGTGCCTCCTGGGAGACCGGCGGCGGCGGCGCCCGCGCCGCCCAGAAGGCGCCTCTGCCCTCCCCTGTCCCTGGATACCCGCTGCACGGGCGGAAAGAAAGACTGCGCTGCCGTGCGCGGTAGAGCACGCATGAGTGCACGGATGCCAACGACCTGCGCCCGCCCACGTGCCCCAGGACGAGGAGGCCGGCCCACCAGCGGCTGAGGGACCGCATGCCCTTGAGCACATCCCAGCTGCACGCGCCCTGCCCAGACCCCCGACGTCATGAATTTTTCATGACGTCGACCCCCAGCGGTCTGGACCCTTTCCCTGGGACCGGTTCTTCGTCCCGGGTCGTTTTTCGACGGTCCCGAGGGCCGGTAAGGGCCCCCAGAGGCAAAAAATAGCGAAAAAATTCCCGTCGTGATTTTTTCACGACGCGAGGGGGTCTGGGTGGAGCAGCCGCCGCATCCCTCACCGTAACCCCCTGCACAGGGACAGCGGGGGGCTAGGACGGTCAGGGTCCCTCGCCCTGCCCTGCCACTGCCCCGTGCACTTGCGAGCGGCCTGCTGCTGGACGGCCGCCACGGACGCCGTTCGCTGCAACCCCAGGTTTTGGGCGCCCGAACTATCCGGGGTAACTCGGGTCCGGGGTAAGTCGGGTTCGGAATCCCGAAAAAACCAACCCGAGTTAGCCCTGACCCGAGTTACCCCTGATGATTCGGGGCTCTGGACGCCCGAATTATCCGGGGTAAGTCGGGTCCGGGGTAAGTCGGGTTCGGATTCCCGAAAAACGAACCCGAGTTAGCCCTGACCCGAGTTACCCCTAATGATTCGGGGCTCTGAAAGTTGGCCTGGCACCAGACCAGCCAATCATCCACGCCCCAATCCGCGAGCAGGCTCTCGGACTGACTTGCCCAGGACTGCCCCTGGGTCGCTACTGGGGATCCCACAATTTGCTACTGAAGGGTCGGGCAGACGTGAGGCTCGGGTTCGGGGGACTCCGGAGCCAGCATGGAAATGACGAGACCCAATCTGACTCTTGGCGCGAACTCCCACTGCAAGCGTCCCACGAAAACTGGACCGTCAACATCAAAGACGCGCTCGTCAAAGAGCGTCGGCAAACCCGAGTTCCGGCGCACTCGAAACTTACCCGTCGGTCGGAAGATGTGGGTAGAAGCATGAGGCAGGAAGGCGTGAGAAGAAGACTGTGTGCTTCCGCCCGCCCCCTGCAGAGGAGGGGAGAGGGCACACCACTCGACTCCTGAGGCAGGGAGGCGGCTGAAGCAAACGGGGATCTGGGGATCCCAAAGCACATACGTTCTCAACATCCGGCGTGTACGTGTCCCCAGAGATCCCATGTCGTGTTTTGTTCAATACGGGCTCCCCGGAAGTCTCGGCCCATTCCCCAGCGGCTTGTCGTCCTGAGTCGTTTCTTGACGGTCCCGAGGCCCAGCGAGAGCCTCTAGAGACCGAAAACGGGGAAAACCTCCCTCTTGATTTTTTCGATGCGCTGGATCTCTGGGTCCCCGAAGTTGAGCAGTGACCGACCGTCCTGGCATTCCTACAGGCCTACCACGAGATGTTCTTAGAACCCAACAGTGCTCTAAGAACATAACAACGTTCTCAGAACAGAAGCCCGATGTGTGAAAGCAGGACCGTCTCAGCCAGAACTGCTAGAAGAACATTTCGTGCAGACCACAGAGGGTTCTCAGAACATTATTTGGTGGGCCTGTAGGCGCGCCAGGACGCCTCGCAGGCGCCCAAAACATCGAATCGACAAGTCGGGTCGGCGATCGAAATGAGTCGGATCGGCGGAAA